CTTTGTCTTTTCATCCCATCTTCCTCCTGAACCCATCTTGGGCAGGAGAGGAAATGTAAAGAAGCCCACTAGAGTGGCTGGGAAGGTGGCTCAGTTGTAGAGTGCTTGCCTTGCACACATGAAGGTCTGGGTTCGACTCCTCAGCACCACATAAGCAGAAAAAGCCGGAAGTGGCACTGTGGCTCAAGTGGTAGAGCGCTAGCCTTGAGCTGAAGGGTTGAGAGACAGTGCCCAGGTCCAGAGTTCAGGCCCCACGACCAACACACACACACACACACACACACACACACACACACACACACACACACACACACACACACACACACAGCCCACCAGATCATGTCTTGGCCAAAGGATCCTAACTACAGAAAGAAACAAACACTCTACATGTGTCAGAAGAGCTGTGATATCTATTGGAGTATAGGCATTATGTTTGAAGCCTGTTCAGTTCTTTCAATCACCCGCATAGAGAAAATCTCTCCTTTGTGAAGAGAGATCCCTTATATTAGAGTCATCTCTACTCTATTACCTTCAAGAAGCCAAGTTGACTCATTGTCATCTAAGGAAATATCCCATGGCACATAGTGTCTGAAAGAGGTCCCCATTACTGACACCTCATTCCCCACCCCAAACTAACTCTGTACTTATGGCCTTTCAGGGGGGAAGAGAATACAGAAGCACTTCTCTGCTAGTCTGTGTTCACTAAGTGACTTCAGCTTCTCCATCATGGTCCTTATTCCTTTCATGTTTCCCTTTAATGGCAGCTTATATTCATTTTGTTCAATATACCTTTGCGGAGGACCAATCATACGTTGAAAATATTGAAATCAATACAATATGTGACATGATCCCATACTTCAGAGCACATGTTCTAGCAGAGCAAAACATACAGTCACAAGTAGGACAAAAAAAGAGATGGTAATGGGATTCAATGCTTGGCAAGGAAAAGTACAATTAAATCAAGATTTGTTTGATGGTCTTATTTTGAGTGGAAAAAGGATGATTTGAATAGAATAATAAAAGTGGAGGGGGTATGAGAGTGAAAATCAGAGGGCAGAGAAGCAGGTGGCTGATTTGTAGACTATGAAGTATTGGAGTTTGTAAGTACCACTGAATTCTCTGAGAAGAAAAATGAGAGCCAAGGGCAGGAAAGTAGTTTGTTATGAGATTTCCAAAGGGCCCCAAAGACCAGGACATTTGTACTTTGATAGCGAATAGGGGAGTAATTTGAAGTCTATGAGTGGGCGAGTGATGCAATTGAAAATATGTTTTAGGAAGAACAAGTAGAAGGCTATTGCAATTGCCCAGCCAAGAGGTAATAAAGCTCTTAAGTAGTATGGTTGCTGTGGTATTTGGAAGAAATCAATAGTTTGGAGAGGCTTTGGGGAGTAGACTAAATGGGGCCTGTATCCTGATTGCATATGCCTTTACTCACCCTCTATTTGACCCTTATTCCTTTCTCTTTCTGATCATAAAGCTGTAGGAGGTATCCCTTAACACACATTTCTATTTCCTGAAAAATTTCTCATTATTATTAGATAAAGCTTCATTTGCTATAACTATGAAATACACTCCAAAGGACAATTCTTGAGATTCAAAATGAGGAGATAATATTCCACATCTATGTTTGTATTGTGTCTTCTCTATATTTTGACTTTCAGGTAGATTTTTCACTTATTTTTCCTGAGGATCTTACTCTAAAACAAAAATAAGCATATATAAATGCAGCTTTTTGGGAGCTCTTATTTATATATACAGAATGGAAATCATAATCATAAAATTAAAGTTATTAAAATGATACTAAATTTATCTCTTGTTCCATTACGCAGCTTGAAGAGTATCTTGGCTCTTTAAGAGCCTTAGAATATTAATTTTACATATTTAGAAAAGGATTCTGACAATAGAATTGTATAACAAAATTATAAGAAAGTAAGAGAAGCAGTCACCAAAATAATTGAGCTGATAATTCAATTGTTAAATAAAATGCAGGTAATGCATTTACTATTCTATTTTTAAAGGCTAGAGAAAAGTACAAAATATTTTGTATATTTATGTTTCTATTTTTTAAAATCATTTGTGGGTTATGGCTAAAATGAGTTGAAATTACCACTATGTAGCAACAGGAAAGAGATGCCCTGTGGTAAGTCTTTTTTCTGGAAGTTTTATCCAGGGAGATATATTGCATTTATCTATCTCTGATGTGAGAGTTTTGAGTTTCTTGACAGAGGTATATATGGTAACACAGGCAGCAGATGACAGATATGCCAAGGGAAAGCAGGAGTGTTCTGGAGCAGCTGGGTGTGTGATGCTACTAAGGCACACTAACTAACTAAGGTATAACTAACAGAGTCTGTGTCAATGAACTAGAAAATGAGGGGCTTATTTTCTGTTCAAACATGAGTGATCTTCCTGATAAAACAAGCAACAAGTTATAGCTAGCCCTTGAATTAGCAATCTTATAACACAACAGACAAAATCAGCTCTGGCACAAGTGCACAGGGTAGTTAGAATAACTTTCACAAAAGTACAACACTGTCTCCCTAGCTGTGAAGAATTGGTTCCAAGACACCCTTCCTCATTCCTAAATCTTAAGATGTTCAAGAATCTTCCATGAAATGGCTTAGTTCATATACAATCTCTGCATGTTCTGTAAATTTTAAATCACATTTCAGTTACTTATAATTTCTAGTGAAATGTAAATGTGATCTCAAAAGTTATTACACGATATCACTCAGAAGAAAGGCAAGGGAGTAGCTATATGTGATTAGTACAGACGTGGGTGGTTTTTTTTTCTGAATATTTTCCACCATGGTTGAATGTACAGATGTGGATCCCATGGACCCAGAGGGATGTCAGTACAACTGTAACTGAATCCTCTCCCTAAACACTGTGCTTGTGTTGTTTTATTTGCTAAGCCAACCTTCTTAGATTCATTTATTTTATGAAATAACAGTATCAGAGGTGACATTGCTTCCCCAACATCTGCTAAACCAGGATTTAATATAAAAAGCTTCATTTCAGAAAATATGGTTAAAAGGTGAAACATATATTCAGAGTGTTCTTAAAACAATAAAAGTGTTTCCAGGGGGGGGGGGGAGGAGAAGGATTGGGATTAGGGGGGGAGGGGGGAGGCTGGGAAGGGATGTGAAGGGTTAACAAAGGAGGAGGCTGCAATGCTTGGTAAGAAATGTACGCATTATCCTGCCCATGTAACTGTAACTCCTCTGTACAGTATGTTCACAAATAAAATTAAATTTAAAAAAAAAAAAGAATGAAAGGACAAAAAAAAAAAACAATAAAAGTGTTTCCAAATCAATAGAACAAAATAATGTGTAAACTATATTTCAATAGATATACACACATGCACATATATATACATATATATATGAATTTTAAAATTTTACAGAGCACTGCAAATCGTTAGGAAAAGTAGCCAGTACTAAATAAATACATAAAAACCATTGGCTATTGGAGGGGGATGGGAGGTGGGATAAAGCTAAAGCTGTGCATTTTGTTTAAAAAAAAAAAGAAATGAAAAAGAAAAAGTGTATTTCCAGACATTTCTAGTTGTTTCAGAGGTTGAACTCAACTTCACTTGTGGGGTATAGTAATTGAGTTGGAGAATATTTGCTTTCAGAGAATGCAACAGTTTTATTAAAAATGCCTTGGAGGAAAGATGTTTGAAAGGCAAAAAGAGACCAGTGTTGTGTTTATCTCTCTAGTGTCTCCTAAATACACCAGAAAAAAATACATTCCCATGAGCTTTCTGGGCCATGAACTGGGCATGTGTACTTTCTGATAAGAAAGTGGTTACCATCATAAGGGCTAGATAGTTTCTTTCTTTGTTATTTATGGAAAATAAGAGACAAGGCAATAAGAATATAAATAGAAATTCACCTTGGGACAAGATTGAGAAGGATAAAGACTTCAAAGAAATGTGCAAAAAAAGAGAAAAAGATGAAAAAATAAATGAGACAATAATGAAAATAAATAGAAGTTGAATCTGGCAAGACCAGTGAGAACTCTTCCCTTGGCTATTCTTCCCTTGACTGGCCCAGGCTCCTGGGCAGGAGGAATGAAGAAGATACAAGTAGCTTTAACTTTGGTTCAGTCCCTCTTTTTGAACCTTGACCTTGCTACTATTATTAAATAACTTTTTAAGATTTGCTGGCTCCCTTATAGACTTATACTTCCCTTTGTTTTTCTCTTTCTACGAAGATTTATTACCAGAGTATTTTAGAAGATTTTGCATGCATTGCATATATATGTATACATACATATGCGCACACACACACACACACACACACACATACTGTTCTATATTCTCTTATTTTGGCTCTGATATTTTATCTTCCCTATTTAATAGTATTTCATACTTATAAATAAAATCTCTGGTACTATCTTTAGAGCAGATGCTGGGAAAAATAGATCTTGGGTCAAAATGAACATCTGAGATTTATGGGACATGATAAATGTTCCTTTGGAGCCTGGTGGGTTTTCTGAGAGAAAGAGAGGTGCGCTCAATGGAGTCTGTGTGTGTGTGTGTGTGTGTGTGTGTGAGAAGAACAAGAACTTCTCCCATCTGAGCCAATTATCTTTAGAGAAAGGTTTTCTTCTATGATAAGAAAAGTTGTGAACTCGCAAAAGTATTTATATATATACTGAAATTTAAGTTTATGAGGCAGTTTAAATTCCACCAAATTATTTTTGGGTTGTCACAATTTAATAACTCTAACCTATGTAATGATAGGATATGAATGGTGGATGCTCTGGAGTCTGAGAACTCTTGGAGATTGCGTGTAACATTGAGCATATACGTGCATTTTTCTAGACAGGTTTTCTAGCTGTCATCCTATTTCAGCCTGTAACCTTAAAATGATTAAGAACCAATAAACAGGTCATTACAAATTGAGAAATTAAGCCACACAATAAGGACAGCTTTTTCTTTCATAAAATATAGGGCTTTTAGCATAGAGTTCTTACATAAATGCTATACTTACATCAAGAGCCACAGACTGCTTGGCCCAGGACTTTTTTACTTGGTCATACATAATTGTGTTGTTAATACCAAGCCCACAAAAGATTACAAAAGCCTGAAAAAGGGAAAAGTCATTAATTAAAAGTTGTCATAACTTACGAGCAAAGTGCAATATGAAAATGATTGCCATTAGGGAAGGATCTGGAAGCTAACGTTTATTGTAGGCAGAGGTGAGCCCTAAGGACATATAGGTATTTAAATTAAGTACTATTGTTATGACTTTAAAGCTCACTTTACACATAAGAAAAGTTATCTATTTAATGTCATCATAAAGGCATTACTTCATATGTGTAAAACTATACAGTCTGTTTAAATGTGTTCTTAATTTATCTAGGTTGTATACTACTGATTTTGATCATTCTGTTCTATTCAACCAAAAACAATCTTGTTCAGTAATGAGGCTATAAAATATTTTAGTAAAGACATTAAGTGAGAGTAACTGTAAGATAAGAGTTAGGGAAAAGGAAGATTGATTAAGAACCCATTGATAAGGAAACTGTAAGATATTTTCAGCTAGAGAAAATAATGATGGGGTTTTCTTATGAGCTTCTGGAAGCTTCTTGTTAGCTTAGGAAGCCTGTTCAATGCTAACCCTTTGATCTTGGGATGGGATGAATGGGATTTTGTTAACACAAAACCAGGTGAAGGTAATACACCTAGAAGAGTGAGGATGGCCCTCTGGACTCTGAATGCCTGTGAACGAGACAGGGATAACACTAGAACTCTTAAGAGGGGAAAACTGTAATAAAATTCTGAAATAAAATTAAGATAAAAAGCATCAAAATTTAAAAATAATGTGATAAATGAAAAATATGATCATTATATATAATTTATATATTCTTTAAAATGTCCCTTAAATCTTGGTACAATACTTAAATATAATAATGATTACAATCATGGTCCTTATAAATAGGAGCAAATTTGATTAATAATGATTTATCTCTATAAATAGGAATAAATTTGATTAATAATTATTTATCCTTATGAATAGGAGCAAACTGTGGTGAGTAGAGGATTGGTGACTCAATGTGACCTCTGGTTTGTAAGTTTATTTTCTTACCTCAAAAAGTCGTTGATCTGCATCATCAAAAGGTTTCCCATCAAGTCTATTCAACACTTGAGCTACACCTATAGGAATAATTTGAGATACATGGTCATGTTTAGTACAGGTACTATATCACTGTAAAAGGGTAGGCCATAGCCAGGCCTATATTTTTATTAAGTAACTCAAGCATTTAGCTTATGCTTCTATGTATCACAACTCTATTATAACTATCATATATAAAGAATAGATAGGCATACATATATACATATACAATTACTCTAGATGATCTAATCTATATATCAATATATCAATCTAGTTACTATCTATCTATCATCTATCTATCTATCTACCTACCTACCTAACTACCCATTCCTTTAAGGCTTAAGGGAGGCATTATGGCAAAATGATTAAGAACACAGGTTTTGAATTTAGGTGATCTAGTTCAAACTGCAATTCTATCAGCTCTGAAGCTCTAACTTTTGGGGGGCGAGGTACTGATGTTTGAACTCAGTGACTCATACATCCTAGATAAGTACTCTGGCATATAAGTTATGCCCCCAGCCCTTTTTTGTTGTAGCTTGTTTTTCAAGTAATGTCTCATGATTTTTGCCTAGGCCAGATCCAGACAGTGGTATTTCTACCTCCACCTCTCAAGGTGCTGTGATTTCAGGCATGCACCACCTCACTCAGCCTTTGTTACCTCACTTTCTTAGCATCAAAATTCCTCAAGAGGGGATTTAAATGCTATCTCATAGAGTTATGAAAATTAATGAGACAATTTTAAAATTTTATTATGTTTATTTAAGATGTAACATGTTATGGAACACATATAGAAGTAAAAAGGTTATTATAGTAAAGGAAATTAACATTCAGCAATTCACATAGACAGCTATTTTGGTTTTGGTTTTCAGAACAGATACAAATCACTCATTAATTATGAGCTCAAGTGCAATACAATTTTGTTACCTATATTCTTCTTATGGTACATTAAATCTGTAGATGATCTCATCTTACATATTTGTTACTTTGTATCGTTTCACTTTTTTAACCACTGTTTTATCCTCTATAGACAGAAAAAATATCTAAATGTTTACAAAACATTTAGCATATTGCTTTGCATAAAGTAAATGATCAGGAAATTATAGGAGCTACCACAAAAAATAAGGACTGTTATCACACGGTTAACTTTCAAAATAAAGTCAGTTGTATTGTCTGCTATCAAAATGATTTACATAACTCTAATAAACCTAACAGTGTTTCACTTTCCAAAGTTTATTTCCAGCATTATTCCATTATACCAAATTTTAGGTCATGGCATTCAAATTTTAACAGTCTAATCAGAAAAACAAGCCTGCAAAATACAAGCCTCTGCCTTCATTTAATACAAACAGAAGACTGCATCTGAAATGTACTTGTATTTTTTAAAAACACAACTGCTCATTAGGGAGGTAATTTATCATATTAAAAAATAATAAAATAAAAATTTGAGCATATAACCAGCAAACTAGAGCACTAATTTTGAAGGAATAATAGATATTTACTACTATTAAATCAGCAGATAACATATGTTATTATTTTGGGGGGATATAGGGAATTGAACTTGAAATTTCTCTACTACTTGAACTACACCCTTCCTCCTTCAGTTATTTTGCTTTTCAGTTTGTTTTCTAGATGGTGTCTTGGATTACAGATGTATACCATCATACCTGGTCACACATGGAATTTTAATGGATTCTTCTCTGTTGTAAATACAAATACGTTTAAAATTTTACATAATGTAAGATAATCCTCATTTGTACTAGGGACTCAGATCCCCAGATCCTAGAATATTTCTTTATGTCCAATGATGTAGGTTAAACAACCTGATGAAAACCTTATTTCAGAATTCAGGTCTTGATAGCCATCACAAAGTATTAACTGTTTTGGTAGGCAGCAGTGTCTTAGAATTTAGCAGGAAATCTTAGCAAGTAGAAAGAGGCAAATAGGTGCTTCATGTACCAAATCACATTTCCATATATTTCAATAATTTTAACTAATGCCTCCACCCTTCATGAATATTTTAACCATGAACTATCCACACTTAAGCTTCTCTACCAAACTTCCCCTTTTATTGAGTTTTTTAAGGGAAGTATAAAAGGCAATGAGGGAGGGAAAAATAGTAGAAGCCACTAAAAAAAACTCAATCCCTTTTGCAGCTTATTTCAGAACTATGCAGGTAGGAAGATACACATTCAGTATATGTCTAATTCTGTAAGTTCCCCCTGCCTTTGTATTTACAGAATTTGTAAAAGCAGTAACATAAAAACATAATAGTGACATTTTTACTAGGAGTTAGACGGCCTGAGCATCAATCCTAACCTTTTTACTAACTTTATGACCTTGGTCAAGGTATTTCTCTTAGTCTCTCTTTCTCTGTCTTTTGTCTTAGCTTCAATGTTTGCAAGGTAAGACATAATAGTTGTTTGTTGCCTTCAGGTTGACTGATTCTTTGATATTTGCTTATAGTCTGACCAGTGTCTATATATATACTCATTACCAATCATGCTTAGATGATTAGACAACAATATGGGATATAGCTTAGTGAATCCTGAACATATAATAGGAACATATAAAATTGAGTATATTTTAAAGCAAAATTGTTTCTTTATAAAGTATGTTAGCATAGCTTGGATCATGTCTTACCAATTATTTGGTGGTTGCTATTCCAAATGGGGACGCAGAGAACAGATCTTATGTGAAAACCAGATATCTGGTCGGCCTAGGGTATAAAAAAAAAGCTTATTAAAGTTGTGTATTAACCATCCACTAGAAGTTGTTTTGAAGGCTGACATGGTAACACACACCTGTAATCCCAGTACTCAGTTGGCAGAGGCAGGAGGATCCTGTGTTCAAGGACAGCATGGGTTATATAGCAAGACCCTGTTAAGAGTTATTTTTATATGTTATAATCTAATTTTATACAACATATAAAATCTGATTATATACAAAGTGTTTGGTTTATAGATAATAGTGTCAAAGGTATTGTATTTTATGTAAATTCTGGTTTGGAACTGAAATGGAAGAATTGTCATTGCTGAGTTATTCCCACAGCCCAGTGGTAAAAACAACAGAACAATACCCAACCAATGCCTAGTCCGGCCAGAACATAGAGGATAATTCAGCAGTCAGATGACAGACTCCAAACTGTGTACTGCCTTCAAATGAGCAAATATCAGCATAAGAATACCAAAAATATGAAAAAGAAGGCAGTATCATATCAAAGTCTATAGTCATACAACAAAGGATCTGCATGATAGTAAGGGGAGTACTCTTAAATACAAACTCAAGGGAAAAATGGTAAGTATGACCAAAGAGATGAAAAAGGACATGTATAAAGACCTCAATGAAATTAAAAAGAACACAAAATAATTCAGAGATTACAAATAAAAAAATGTAATCAAAGTCAGTGCAAATAAAGTTAAATGAACTTGAAGAGGGTACAAGTAAACATCAAAATGAGCATTAAAAAGATACAAATAAACCAAAGGAAATAAAGCAATGCAAGATAATAAAAGGAATAGAAATCTTTAAAAAAAAAGATCAAGAATCAACTTTTCTTGGAGAGGAAAAATACAGTTAAGTGCCTCTTCAGCAGAATAGATAAGATGAAAGATAGAATTTCAGGACCTGAAGATAAGATGGCCATGGTAGAAAAATTAGAAGTATATAAGGAAAGATATTAAAGATGTAGGGGATGAATTTGAAAGATCCTTTAGGACTCTACTAAAACAAAGCAAAATGAAAAACAGACCTATAAATCCTAGGCATATGGGAAGCAGAAGATGCACCAGCTAAATACATTAAGAACTATACTCAATAAAGTAATCACAGAAAATTTCCCAAAGTTTGAAAAATGAGAAGACCATGCATGTACAGGAGCCCTTCAGAATACTCAACAAGCTAGACTAGAACCTCCAAGGAGATATTATAGTTAAAGCACTGAGCACAGAGAATAGGAAATATACAGAGAATAAGGAAAAATACAGAAAGCTGCAGGAGAAAAGCACCAAATCATGTACAATGGTAAACCTATCAGAATAACAATAGATGTCTCAACAGAAACCTTAAAACAAGAAGGGATTGGAACCTGGAATCATACAAATAATTGTGGGAATGCTTGAGGAGATAGGAAGGAATGGGAGGTGGTAAGGACTAAACAGGAGGGATGTTAGAGACTAAACCATGCTGAAATACCTTGCACCTGTGAACGAAGATAGCAGAACAAAACTCACTGAAAGCTGTTGAATGACAGGGGGTAAGAGGTTGAGGAAAGTGAGAGCAAGCAAGTATGCCAATGTGATTAAATTATGGTATATATGAAATACCTGGATGAAGCCTCTTTGAATAATTAACATGAACTTTAATCAAAATTAATTGACAAGAAGGGGAAACATGTTCTGGATGGGGTAAGGGTATTAGTGGGATGGAGGAGGGTAAATGAAGAGAGTAAAGGAGAGGAAATAGAATTAAAATGTGCATGTGTGAAAATAATGCAATAAAGCTTTCTGAGACTGATCTGGGAAAGGGGAGGGAGATGAATTACGGAAGGGGTAACTCTGATCAAGTTATATGGTGTGTATATAGGGCGTGTCAAAATGAAATCCCCTTGTACAGCTAATTACTGCTAATAAAAAAAGAAAAAGATATTTAAGTGAAAGATCCTACATGTCCTAAAGATGATCAGAAAACAGTAAAGTGCTGCATAATCCATGGAGAAGACCAGAAAGCTATACCTCAAGGTCACTGTAGAAGGGAGAAGCTCATGATGCATACAAGAGATTGGTTCCAAATCCATTAACTAAGATACGTAAGTGTCCGTCCTACTAAGGTGATTCTGTTGAGGAATCTTGTCAGTGCAGGAGAAGCAGATGAAGACTTGGAAGTTGAAACCAAAAAGAGTGTGGAAAATAAGACAAGGTTGGAAAATGTGTGGTGTTTGAAATTCCTGGTGCCCCCTGATGATGAAGCAGCACGAATATTTTTAGAGATCAAGAGCTGAGCAACAATTAACGCTGATGCTGATCTGAATGGTAGATATTTGTGTGGACAAATGGCAAAAGCATATTTCTACACTTTGGATAATTTCAGGGTCTTGGATTTGACAGAATAATCTTGATTTTTAAGAACGGGAGTAATTTCTGGTGATCTCCAAGTGAGTTACAGACTGAGCAGTAAGAAAGGCCTTAGCTCCATGACTCTTGGGAATTGAAATTCTTGGGAGGACTTCTAAAGGATGTGTTGATTGGCTCCCTTTTATTTTGTGTTATAAAAATATAAATATATTATGAACATTTCTGATAGTTAGGGTAACCATTTATAGTAGTTGAAGGAAGTCTTTTTTCCTGGCCTAATTATGAATAGCATTTCTTTGCGATCTCAAAGTAGTCAAATTTAGATAAACTTTCATATATTTCATATAAATATTTATATGGAATATTCCATATATTTGTTATACATTTCAATATGCTGTTTCATGAAGTACTTCATCAGAACTGTGATCATTTTTTCCTACTGGGTTTTCTAACATCCCAAAACTGATTTGGAAATATTTGTCCTATGATGTGTAAGAGGCCTTTTCCAATTATGTAATTATAATTATCTTTCCTAATCCATAGCTTGTTTTTTCCCTCTCTCTGAGGATAATATGATGTATCCAAATATCTCAAAGTTTTAATTTATAATTAGAACTTTTGGGTCTTATTTAATAAATCTATTTCTAGTTCATGGAGATATTCTCCAATTTTTTTCCTTAGAATCTTATTGTTTTAACTTTCACATTTAAATTTATAATCCAATTGAAAGTGGTTTTTATGTACAATGTGAGATTCTTTTTTATAAGAAATTTGAATGGAAAAATCTCCCTCTCTATTCTATAGTACCACATTTTTTGTTTTCATGTCTCCATGTATGTTTGGATCTGTTTCTGGACTCTATTCAGGCCCATTCATCTAGGTATTTATTTTTTAATGCCAATGCCATGCTGTCCTAAATAATTATTTCTCACAATAAATCTTGATGCTGGCACTATATACCCTTAACATTATTTTTTCTTCAAGATTAGATTTTCACATCAACTTTAAATTCAGTAGTTTACTATACAGAGGTACATTGATATGATTTGGAGGGGAGATATTGAAATGATCAGTTTGGGTTAGAATTGGTATCTTTATAGAACTGAGGTCACAAAAATTGTTTAATTTGCTTAAGGGATTTTCAATTATTTTGGTTTCAAAACTTGTAAGCAAGATTTTGTAGTTTTATTTATTTATTTATTTATTTAATATTTTTTGTCGACGTGGGGCTTGAACTCTGGGCCTGGGCACTGTCCCCGCATTCTTCAGCTCAAGGCCAGCGCTCTACCACTTGAGCCACAGTGCCACTTCCAGTTTTCTAGTGGTTTACTGGAGATAAGAGTCTCACAGAGTTTCTTGCCCAGGCTGGCTTTGAACCGCAATCCTCAGATCTCAGCCTCTTAAGTAGCTAGGATTACAGGCGTGAGCCACCGACGCCCGGTTGATTTTGTAGTTTTATATGTAGGAGTGTTATACTTAATTCGCTGCATGCATTCCTTTGCATTTTAAAAGTTCATGTTATTGTACATGATATTATTACTTTATTTTCTAATGATTATAAGTTTTTCTTCAGTATCTATGTAGGATTATCTTCATTAGTTCCTCAAGGATACTAAAACTTTCAGATATTCAATTCCCTTATGTAAAATGGTATTGAATTTCCATGTAACTTATGCACATTCTCTTATATACATTATATCATCTCTAGTTTCCTTAAAATTCCTAGCATAATATGAACATCATATAACCATGTTGTTAAGTTGTATGTTTAGGGACAACTCATATGAAAAAATATGCTTACTATAGATTTTTATGTTTAGTATAGATTTCACTCTGAAGTTGATTGGATCATAGACACACAACCTACAGATATAAAAGACCACTGTAATTGATACATAGAAAAAAATTGATTCTGCATGTTAGACTTATATTCATAAATCTTGCTATATTTAATTATTAATTTTAATATATTATTAGTACAGTGTTTTGAATGTTCTAGCTATAACACCATGCAAATCTATCTCCAATTCATATACCTTTAATCATGTGATTTTAGAGCATATGATTTTTCTTTTTTAGTATAGTAAGGTACACATATTGTTTTTGATAATTTCCAGGTACAAAACAAATACGCAACTCCAAACAAAAACAGTGGCATAAACCACGCACCTAGTATACTTGTAGATAGATATTTATTAATACCTCTTAGGAGCACTGTACAGTATGAGGGATATAAAAATGAATTCAGTCATTATCCCTGAAGTTCACAGTATAATATAAATAGAAATAAAGACAAGTATTTGAGTAGAGAATTTACAAAACACTACTTTAAATAAATCTCCAAATCAACTCCTTTTAGAGAAAGCAAGAGTAAGTAGTTTTCAACCCCTTAAAATGAGTCCTCAAAGCCAATGCTGCTGCTGCTGAACTAACATTTATTGGGTGTTCACTGTGTATCAGGACCTCTGTTCAGTATTTTCACATGTGTTATTTTCTATATGGTTTCAAATGGCTCAATGAGGTAGGTACAGTTATCTTCCTTCCTTATCAGGTAAAAGTTACAGACTGACTGCCTGGAATGGGAGAGCCTGGTTCAAAGCAGGCTGACAGTAACAAACACATCTATCAAAGTTATCTTCAAAAAACAGAGTGGTTTTCTTCCTCTGGCTAAGGATAACATCAGAATTAAGGGAATGCCAGTAAGCAGGAGTCAGCCAATTTTAGAGGCTTCAAAAATAAGATTGGCACCTGGGGACTAGTCTCAGTAGACTGGATTGGCTGGGCCTGTTTGGCTTCATAGAGGAAGGGACACACTACTTCGACATCGGAGGTCTGAGCCAACACTGAGCAATAGCCACACTTGTCTTTGCCAACTCTGGCATAACTGCAGCCCTTGTTAACCTCTCCTACAAATCTGAGGCAGCCAAGGGAAGCAGTCATAGTGAAGAAGAAGAAAGGGAATATTTGGTAGGAAAGACATAACCAGAGCCCAGTGGTGAGAAAAAGCAACTATTTAGGCTGTTCGCTAATGTAAAGGTAGTTTGCTTATCCGTCTATTTTTTTGTTTTTTTGTCGGTCGTGAGGTCTGAACTCTGGGCCTGGGCGCTGTACCTCAGCTCTTCAGCTCAAGGCTAGCGCTTTACCATTTGAGCCACAGCGCCACTTCCCGCTTTTTCTGCTTATGTGGTGCTAAGAAATAGAACCCAGGACCTCATGCAAGCAAGGCAAGCACTCTACCACTAAGTCACTTTCCCAGCCCCTTATCCATCATTTTTAAAGCCTTAGAGTTCCACTAAAGAATTTTTACTCTGGGTGTATATGCTATTCCATCCCTAAGGGAGATAGCATTGAAGCATTTGGTATGAGTAAGGATGCTAGAGTTTCTTGTATACATTTGCAGGGAATAGTATTCAGTTCAAGTTGACATACATTACAGCTGAAATGACAACAGGATTTTCCTGGATAAAATCATCAAGGTAGAATTTGCCCAACAAAAGGACAAAGGGTCAGAGCTTGGAGGACATCCTGATACTGGTGATGGGGAGAGAAAAGGCCATCGAAGCTCATGATCTTAGCCTCACTCAAGGTTTTGCTGAAATTCAAAGTGTGAACAGATTGCTAAAGACTTTCTAGAGATTTCTATATCAATGTGTATCCAAAGCATAAGAAGTATATAAAACTTTTGGCTTACTAATTTCACATATAGGAATTTATCTTATGGTAACTGTCAAAACTGTGCGCCAAAACTTACAAATGGAGGTATGAGCCCTAGTATTACTTATCACAGGGATATTTTTTTAAACATTTGCATATTTCATCAGGAGTTGGGTAAGTAAATTATAATGATCTACAGAATAAAATATGTATATAATTAAAATCATAGTAAAGAGGACTGATTCCTGACACAGAAAAGATTTATGTTAAGTGACGGTAATGTGGTATCTGCAGGTATGTAAAATCTTATCGCATGCATCAAAAGATCTTAGGAAAATTATAACCACAAAAAGTTCCTTTTGTATTGCTTGCCTACAGGCATTTAAAATTTATTTTTCTGATTAGACAATCTCATCTTACTTGATCATAACGTTTAATGTAACTTACAGTATGCATTGGCTGTATAACCCTAGCCAAATCACTCAACTCTTACTGCCTCGATTTTATCATCTACATTTATCTTCTGCACATCAAAATGGCAGTGCTGGTTATCTGCAAATTTGGACACTATAGTTCATTCTCATCTTTTCTTCTTTGCACTTTTTCATGTTTAATAAGTTTCTTTGGGAAGATAAAAGGGTTTTAAACTTTCTAATGTAAATATTTACAAAGTCATACCTCTCAAAACATATCGGCTTCGTTGTTTTATAGCCTCCCTTCAGGATTATTTAATCTAAACTTTCCACCATGAGAATCTCCCAAATTAGACTATGTGGGATGAAGACGCCTTTCTAGGAAGCTGAAGTTCAAATAAACATGTTATCTGAGAATGCCTAGTTTTTCCAATTAAAAATGCATCTACTTAAATTTTTTTGCCTAGTTTCTGTGCTCATAGGACCTTTCTAGTTAATGGGTCTAATTAAAGATGGTTGATAGATCAGCTCTGGAAACCAGCACAACAAACCTGTCTTACAGTCTAGCCTCTCAAAGGCAGACAAAAGAAATGTAAAATGAATTGGTGATAATGTAAGATAATTCTATTAATATGCCACGTGCTTTCTTTCTCAAGAAAGATAAGCATAACTTTAACAACAAACCCTGAAGGTTAATCTGCTGGTGAAAAATACTTGTTCTAGCACTAGTACTAGGACAAGATGAGGGAACCAATGTTCAGAGTCCTTTGGGCTGGGCATGTAGCTCAATAGTAGAGCACTTGGCCCTGTGCATCTAGTTCTGGGTTCAGTCACCATCACTGCAAGAAAATAGAGTCACATATTGTTTCCTGAAATAACGAGACAAAGACCCTCACTTGAGAAAGGATCACAAACTGGCTTAAAGTAAGGATCAATGATAGAAGAGTTCCAATGGTAGATGCGTTTCAGTAGATTCACAGATCTTCATTTCACAATGGGTTCAGTTTTGCACATTTTTCTTTGTAACAGATTATACCTAATAGAACATAAGGTGTTCAAGAGAATAGGGGCTGAATTGTCCTGCCAGGTTTGCACTTGGCATCGTGATTGCAGTAGTGCTCCATTGTGAAGATTTGACAGTTGAAATGGCTCTAATGCTGTAAGTCAAGCATCTGCTCAGTGCCTGGAGCCCCATTATCCTTAAGTGCTACATAACCAGGGGCAAGTATTATGGAGTCTCAATGACAGGCTTTTAAAAAATCAGAATTTCACATGGAAGAACTCCATGGTACAAAGATTTAGGGTCAGATTAGGGTCATGGTACCTTACTGTTAACTGTGTAATTCTAAGTATGGCCATTATGGCAGAGAGGATCTGGGTCATGATGAGTTTCTTACCACTTCTGAATTTGTAACCAACACATGGATCCCCGAATCCATCCATGCAAAAGATGTGCCCTATTTTCTAGTAATTTTCTGCCATTCCCCTTGCTGAAAGAGTCTTTCCTATTTATACATCAGGTTCAATGGTTCATTCCTTTTGTGGGCAGAAAACAAATCTCATATTTGATATAGCACTAAAAAATTTCCCCATAACTATACAATTGGAAGGAAGTATTAAATTAAGCAATGAAATATAATGCATTGGATCAATAATGGCTTGTTTTGTATTAGTGTGCTTATTTTAATGCACTCTTTTCAGTGTAACATGAAAAGAAGAGCAGAAGGCTTCACAGGTGATGTTCTAGAGTGCAACTAATTATAGGGAGTTGAACTCAAAAGCACAATGCCAACCAACAAGAAGGCCAGAATAATAGTTTTATGATGAAGGTATTTGTAAATAGCATGTGGGGCTCCAAGAAGTCAGCTGATAATAACGGTAGATCAGCTGAAAGGTAGATTATGCCCATTCAGCCTCAGACAAAGCTCATGGTTAGAATAAACCCAGAAAAGTACTCTACACTGGCAAAGGAAAAGAAAATATTTCGTCTGAATATACAGTGAAGCACGTCGACTTACTTCGATCTCATATTATATTTACTGTGATTTGAATGTTTTTTAAAATAATTTTCCAGATGGTTAACAATAGTTTCATAAAATATATATTTTCACATAAGACATAGAGAATCTAAAATTTACAAAATCTTTATAATTTCAACTGATAACAAAATATTATAAATGTGAAAAATTAAAGTAATAATAGAATCAAAAGTTCTAATCATGACATCCTTCCAGAGATAGCAGCTATTTTCAGTGGCTTGAAGTGAGATCCTCCTCATCTTCTACAAATATATAATGTGTTAATTACCAATATCTAATATATTCAACAATATATAGCAATAAAGACAAGACATATAAACAGACCCAAACCTGTGGCTTACACCTGTAATCCTAGCTACTTGGAAGGCTAAGAACTGGAAGAGCATGGCTCAAAATCCAGTGTGGGAAAAAAGTCCATGAGATTCCATCTCCAAAATAACCAGCAAAATCTGAACTAGAGGCATGTCTGAAGTGGTAGAGTGCCAGCCAAATGAGTATGATGCCCTGAATTCAAATCCTAGTATCCACAAAAAAGATAATAAAATAATTATATATTATGTATGAGCTGTACAGTTATTAAAATATAGTTTTATCTGAGGGAATAGCTAGTGCCAAGACCCCGAGGTGGGTGTTTGGATGCCATGGCATAAGAACAAAAAAAAAAACAAAAATTACTCTTAACAGCTCAGAGTGAGCCAGACTGGTATCAGTGATTCATGACTGTAATTCTGCTACTCAGGAGCCTGAGACCTGTGGATCATGCTTCAGAGACAGCCAGGGTAGGAAAGCTTGTGAGTCTCTTATCTCCAATTAACCACCCAAAAGCAAAACTCCACATGTTGAGCTATGGCTCCAATAGCCTTGAGCTCTAGCCTTGAGCAAAACACAAAGCTTGAGGATAGCAGGCCTTGAGGTCAAGCCCTAGGACTGACACAAAAAAGAAAAAAAAAAAAGAGGTCAGCATGACAATCTACAATGGAAAACTTTGTGTTACACATAAATATGTGTATATGTACATATATACATGGTGAATATTTATCTAGCTATATGTGTCTACATATCTATCTATATACATGAAAATAAACTCATCTGAATTTATCTATAATCCTCTGTAGTACCTTATAAACTTCAAAGTTGTTTTGACATATTCTGCTTATCAGCATAATCAGCCTACATAATTAACATCAAGCAATAAAACCAACCAATTTACTGTTTATTGGCAGCAATTTTTAAAATATGGTAGTGTTTTAGAGCAGCTGTTGAGAAACAAATGTTATATACACATTTTTATTATTAAACATTTCATAGTTTAATATATGGCAACTCAATTATAAAAGAGCATTTGAGTAAGGATGCTCACTTTTTGCTAAAACCAGATTGGAGATTTTTACCCCAGTAAACTCAGGGATTGCTGTTGATTCACATTCTGTTCATTTTTCTTCAACCAGCCAATTATTGGCATTGTGACAATGAAACCTTAGATTCCCTCTTACCTCCGCATCAAAGCGTGGGTCCTGGTAGGCATCGCTTATGTTCACTGGGAGGCCTGTGGAAGCAACCAGCTCAGCGATGCTGTTATTTATCAGCCAGTCAGAGTATGATGATTTCTCCATGCTTTCCTTGAAGCTGTCAGAGCATCAAGGCAGGCAGCAAGAAAAGAGAGAAGCATAAGTTTGACATAAACTCTATCCAATTACCTGAATAGAATTATTTATCCTCATTAAAACCAGATAAGTAATCTTAGTCATAGAACAACAGTGAAGTAATAATTAGTAGCTACTTTCAAATGACTTACCTGCTAGAATATAAAATAATCAAGTCCATGGATAGAAACCACAGATTCTCTATGACCTAAACCCAACTCTAGGTTGTATTTAGGTTTCAAAGGAAGCAGGTATAAAAGCAATTAACTAGATAACCAAAACTATCATAGAACACCAACACTTAATAAATTACTAAGCCCTCCATCCTATCCCCCTTAATTATACAGACTGGATGTTTATCGACTCTCACTGTGGGACAAGAATAGTCTAGATGTGTTTGCCCAATTCATTGTCTTCATATGATTTCTATAAAGTGAATATGATTCTCCATATTTGACAGATCAGAATATTGAGGCTCAGAAGTTTTAGTAACTTTCAAGGATGATGTATACTTTTTACTTAAACTTGAATCCTAGGCCCTAGATTATTGTATAATTTTTCTGATGTGTTTCAGGAATGAATAGGTAGGAGAAGAACAAGAATCATGTGATAGTACCTTAAAAATTAAAGGTTGGTGCAGTCAGAGAGAGTTTCAGGTAGATGCTGAAGGTAGTAATCATTTTAGTCTACTCTTCAGTCCAAGGTAAGGGGAAGAAAAGATACTGAATTTGATGAGTAAATATCATAGGTCCTTACTTAAACAGAATTCCCAGAGGAGACATTGAAACAAAAACACTGGGTAAGGGCTTCTGAAAGACTCAGACTAAATCTAAAGTGTCTTCAAATATCTTTTAGTTTAGGCCACATGCTGCACTGAATGCATTCTAACGTCTTTGAATAATGTACAAAGAAAAATGTTCCTTAAGAGTCTAAAAAAAGTTAAATCAATATAATCAACACCTAAGTTTCACTGAAATATCATTACAAGGTTAAAATTAACTATTTATTCACTTTCTTTAACTCTAGAAAATACATCTCTCTAAGCTCAGGATTAATTTTTAACTAACAAGCTAACTAGAGAACTCCTTTAGTTTATTATTTTATAAAGGTCAGGGCATAGGAAGAGGTAGGTATTGAAGTGAGTTCCATGTAAAGGACTCCGTTTCAGTCGCTCCTTCCTTAATAATATCTTGCCAAATGGAAGACTCAAACTGTCTTCCAAGAAATCTTCATGAACACAGATACATTGACTGCAAAGTCTAAGAATAAAAGAGAATTGCCCTATTACAGAAAATACACACTCCTGAAATATGGCTGTCCCTGAAGTAAGGGCCAGTGAGGTAAACATAAACCTCAGGAATGCCAAGTCCAAAGTAGCTTAAGAGAGAAATCAATATCAGCAAGACAAAACAAGACAAAATAAAACACATCAGGACAAGTGACTTCAATATCTTCAGTTATCTAAAACACCACATAGAAAACTGCAAGAAAATAAACTTCCCCCCTATCTGCAGAATTGCTTCTCAGCGTCTCTAAATGAGAAGGAACTATTTGAAAAACATAAGGTTAATCATCAGACTGTGTTTGTCTTGATGTTTTTGTTCTTAACATTAGAGTTCACTTCAATATCATCACTAGGAACTCTTTTTTTTTTTTTTTTTTTTTTTGGGTCCGGTTGTGGGGCCTGAACTCTGGGCCTGGGCGCTGTCCCTCAGCTCTTCAGCTCAAGGCTAGCGCTCTACCACTTGAGCCACAGCGCCACTTCCGGCTTTTTTCATTTTGCTTATGTGGTGCTGAGGAATTGAACCCAGGGCCTCAGGCATGCAAGGCAAGCGCTCTACCACTGAGCCACCTTCCCAGCCCCATCACTAGGAACTCTTAAGACTTTACTCTTTTAAGAATGAACACTGGTTGACCTCTATCAAGTACTAAGCAGAAAGGAAGTGAATCTTGTATGGGGAGAATGAAGACTTTTTTGTTTTTGCTGAAAGGAATTGATCCTTGGAAACCCATCTGTACATGAAATGTTTGCCTAGTTCTGCCTCTCCCTCCATACTTACAGAGAGGGTAAGGACAGAGAAGTGGGCCATACATTCAAGAAGTTTACAGACAATGATGGTGGACAATGGGAATGCACATAATGGAGGGCCTCTCCCTCCATACTTACAGAGAGGGTAAGGACAGAGAAGAAGGCCATACATTCAGGAAGTTTACAGACAATGATGATGGACAAAGGGAATGCACATAATGGAGAGATGTTCAAGATATTAAAGGAATGGTAGAAAGATTCAGTTCTGTTTGTGTTGAGAATGGTATTTAGATAACTACAAAAGAAGATGGTCTAAGTTAGTCATTGAAAGATAAGGGAAAATAAGTGTTCATTAGAAGGATGATTGAATGATTAAAAAAAAAACAATTTAGACAAAACTACAGCATGAGTGGAAAAACCTCCCATGCTCCTGGATTGGAAGGATCAACATCGTGAAAATGGTAATACTTCCCAAGGCTATCTACAAATTCAATGTGATACCTATCAATACTCCAACCTCATTCTTCAAGAAGAGGTTATTATTATGGCCTGCATGTGGTCCTTCCTTTCTTTTTTCTGTTTTTTCTATCTTAGTTTTCTGTACCCTACGTCTCATATATCAGTTCATTTGATCTGTGGAAAGGAAAGGGAATCACAGAAACAGCAGGACAAAGAATGAGCCACTGTGACAGTGATATTCATTTGACACTACGTTGGAAATTATCTTTACATCTTGGAGGGGAAAACGGGAGAAAACTTTGGATAGGGTAACTGTTTCAAAACAAATGTACTCATTACCTACATATGTAACTGCTCATCAACTTTTCAATAAAGATTTTTAAAATGGTCAATCGCCCTCTTGTCAGTTTGAGTATTATCCAATGAAGGTAAGAATATGAGAGATCAAGAGTCAGGAACTATTTGAGAAAGATACTTCTCTTTCTATGCTTTGCAAACAAAACTTGATTCTTGATGTACAGGTTAAACATGGTAGTATTTGATATCTTGTTTCATTGACTAGACTTCAATCAGAACTTTGGCTCACAAAAAGAAACCCCATACCTTACTTTCTCTTATCAAGAAAAGTCAACTCCTGGAGCCCTTTCTTAAGCCTCCAGCTGTGCAACATATTTGAAGTTATCTTTTAATTGGGAGATTAAGGAAACAAATCAATACTGGTAGGACTCAAAGCTGGAACCCCAGCAGGAGAATCTTAAAGAAACAGGACTAGGGCATTAATAATCTCCTATGGGCTTCAATATATCTTTGAAGGTTATCAAACTACTCTTTTAGCCATAAAAGGAAATGAGAGAGTGTGCAATTAGAACCAGCCAGTCAGTTTGTATACTGCAGTAGGAAAGATGCTATAAATTGCAAGAGTTCTGGAAGTTTATTGTGACCTGTTAATGAACTTGCATTTGAGGTATTGCCTGAGGACGTTTTATTACACATACTTGATTTCTCTAATTTTAGCATGCTGTATTATCACAAATCAGGACATGGAAACCAAAGAACACATTTTCTATACTTCATTACTTTAAGTTATCAAATTAAAATGATGAGGTCCTCCCTGGCCTGCCCTTGGAATTGGCATTACTTTGGGAAAGGGTCTTAGGACTCTCAGATGGGTGTCTAATGGCATTTCATTGAGTGGTTGATGTCTTTCATTTAGAGTAAAGTTCTTAGTTTCACAGCAAAAGGAATCTGTTTTGATTTGGGTTGCTATTCTAATATTGGTCATTACTTGGCAGCCGTGAGACTACAGGCAAATATATGAATGGAAAACAGGAGAAATAAAACCTATTTTACAGGACCTTTTCTAATTTTTATTTTTTTGTTGGTCATGGGGCTTGAACTCTGGGCCTGGGCGCTGTCCTTCAGCTCTTCAGCTCAAGGTGAGCACTCTACCACTTGAGCTACAGCGCCACTTCCTACAGGACCTTTTTTGAGGGTTTGATATCATACTATTAAAGACTGTGTGCACAAAGACGGCTCTTGACGAATATTAGTTCTTATATCACAAAGATTTCCTTTTATTAAAAACACCTAGATGAAACTTGCTTAATTTAACTGCTTAGCTCCTAGGGCAGGAGAGGGGTTTCTGGTTTTGACTATGGTAGCACTGTCAGATTTGGAAAGGAACTGAAGAGAAAGTGTGCTAGTTGGCACAACTGCGGATAATAGTGCCCTGTTAAAATTATGTCCTGTGGCCATCACCAGAGATCTCCTCTAGATTGAGGGCACACCTCACAACAAAGCTTGGGTACCCATACAGACAGCAAGACAGGAGAAGTAGACTTGTTTGTTAAACTGATAGCCAAAGCATACTAAAGAAAGACCTACAAAAATAAATTAAATATCAAAACCAACCATTAAGACCTCTGAGTAGTCATAATTATGTTTACTACGTATAATTAATCCAAGAATAGTTAATAAGCCATTTTATTATGTTCAAGTTCAGTATTTTTTTCCATGTGTTTTGTTCATGGAAAATCCTTATAGCTTTTCTTTTTCTTCTCTGTGACAGTCTTACTAGAATGACAAGATCTCTAGGCTAAAATAAAGGTAATAACAAGATTTGTTTTTACTTCACTTTTCATGTCCAAAGATATGAAAATATAAACAAAAATTACATATTTTAATTTTGTTTAAGAGGTGAAAATAAGATACTTAAAATATGTTTGATTGAGTCTCTCAAGATTAATTTAGAGTGCTGGGAATATGGCTTAGTAGTAGAGTGCTTGCCTAGCATGCATGAAACCCTTGGTTCACATAGACAGAAAAAGCCAGAAGTAGCACTGTGGCTCAAATGATAGAGTGCTAACCTTGAGCAAAATAAGCTCAGGGGCAGTGGTCAGGCCCTGACTGTCAATAAAAAAAGATTAATTTGGGAGATATACAACTTCTTTACAAATATTTCTTCACTTTCATGTTTCTTATAATTAATATCATAG